GTATTCTGTGTTTCAACATCACTTTCTTGACTTGTGCCAGTTAATACTGCAACCTTTTTACCACATAAATCACTTAATCCATTGATGGTTTTTGTGTAAGAAGATCGAACTAGGAAGTTAGTACCAGTTTTAAAATATTGAGCAAAAGTAACATTCTCTTCTCGTGCTGTATTATCTGATTCTGTACTAATTGAAATTAGATTTTTATCATTTTGCACCATGGAAATAAAGTCGGGAAAGTCGGCATATTGATACTTAAAATCTACGTCAAGTACGTCGCCAATGGCCTTCATTAAATCAATATCGAATCCAGTTGGTGGTTTATTACCAACTTGTGAGACAAACGGTGGCTGGTCGTTAGCCGTTACTACGTTGATTGTTTTCGAGTTAAAGGTACATCGGAAATTATTAGCTAAGCATTCTTGTGTACAACGATTATCACAATTATAAGAACATGGGGCTAAAAAAATAAATAAATTCAAAATTGATATGAACAAGAATCAGTTTCTGAAATTCAGTTATAAAGTTCATGGTAGAGTAAAATAATAGAAAAAACAATTGAGCGAGTATATTTCTAGATTTTTATCATATTCTACTCATGTAACATATCAATAAATTATATCACCTCTGCTAGTTGTTTTTGATGGTCGTGGGGTAGATCTTGATCTTGGTTTTTGTCTTGGTCTGTATCTCGGTCTTGGTCTTGATCTCTCAGTATTGTAATTCTCTTCCGAATACTTTGCTGGTGGATCGTAGCGTTCTCCTGGTTCTTCTTCTGATTCTTCTTCTGATTCATATGTCGGAAGCGTATCATAGTGTTGTTGCGGATGTTTGCGAATGTTGAAAGATTTATAGTCCGTTTTAATTCCACCAGTAAAACCACCTCTAGATGGATTGATTCTCGGTATGCCTGGTCCGAACACTAAGTAAAAAATAGAAAGTTGATAAACGAATATTTAGAAAGAAAGACTAACATGGTGTTGGTTGAAAATAGGATAACATGTTAATGGGTGGAGTTAGGGGAGCACCAGTGCTGACCAAACTAGCATAGCCAGACACAATGAGTTCTGCCACCGAAAACATTTTGCCGTAGAAGTTGATTATTGGAGGTAAGATATAAACTACAACAATATTATATAGTAAATGATATATCTGAAAATATAATTACTTACTGCCACCAGCTGGTGAAAATATTATGGTTTGTTTCGTCAGACGATCGACAAATATTGGAAGCCGAGGATTAAAAGTGAGAAATGGACCACGCAAGGCTGAGCAAATTCAATATGTTTATAGAGTGAATTTAGCACAAGTAGGAATACATACGAAATCGTTGACGATTATAACGGGCTACAGGAAAACGTAATGATTGTGGACGATGTCTAATGCCATCTTTACTCGGTCTACGAACGTAAACATTCATATGACCAAGACTCTCAGGTTGCTGAGATTTTCGCTAAAATATGAGAAGAATTAGTTCATGTACCACTAATCAGAAGATACTCACATATACAGAAGCTGATCGCAACTGAGGAAGTTCATTATCATCTTCTGAACCTTCCTCATTCACCAATAAGTTGTTATCTTGAACCAAATCAGTAAGCATTTCTATATAATATGAGAACAAAAAATTTAAGTAATGAATTTTAAACACTTCGAAGTTATATGAAACTATTTTTCAGCTTTGTTCAATATCTCGAAGCTTTTTTCTATCACATTTTTAGAAATTAGCTTGTCAGATACGTCATCAATGACTTACCCTGATTGTCACTGCTGACATTATGTTTGTTGTATGCTTTATAAGAAGGAATCGCTATCGCCAAGACACCACCGACAATAAATAATGTAAGCAAAGTTGTGTACCAAGTTCTGCGTTGAATAAAAAGAAAAGTCCGTGACCGATGTGACCTATGAATGATGAGATTATAGTATATTCACATGTTTGATTACTCTAAAAAAATATTTACTTTAATGGTAACTGTTGTTCCTGTTCAGATGTTGCTACGGGTATGTACTGCTGATCATTGTCACATGACATCTCTTGCAATTCGAGCTGATTTTCTTCTAATTCTTTATCCATAACCATGCAGTCGGTTCTAATTGTAAAAGCCAAATGTTTTCTTTGATTCTAAAAAATATCGTTTGTATATCTAATGTTTATTTGATTATATGATAACAAAAATATACTTGTGCTTTTTTCTGAATGACTTTATTGACTGTCTAAATAACTTACCGAATCAATTGTATATTGTTCGAAATATGTTAATGTATATCAGTAAGGTTTTGAATCCAATTACTAATGAAATAATTTGTGCTTGATTTTAATACCTCTTATATAGTGCACCAAGAAACAAAAAAAATAATGGTATCATATGACTTTATTTCAAATATTTTATGGCAATTCAAGATAAAAAAAAGAACAAAATTGCATTTTATTTGCCTCGATATAGAATAATCTATAATGAAAATGTTATTAGAAACATCATATGATGTTTTTAAAAAAGGCGTCGAGGTACACAAGTATGAGTTAACAATTATTTTGCACGTATGTTCTCATAAAAAATCTATGTGCAATAAAATCATGACCTTAAAATATAATTTTATTATGATTTATCATTTCAAAAATCTTAAGAAAAAGTACACAAGCACCAAAACAAATTATATAACATGTTTCAAATAATAAATTATTTGATAACGTTAACATTTTTTTATTTGGGCATTCAGGTATTATATTAAATATTAAATGTGAGAAAATAATTTGTTTTTGATGATTACAGACAAATATTAATAGATAATAAAAATTTATTTTAATTCTTTAATTTTATTTTTGTAAGATTTCATTTTTTTTTATATTGTAAAAGTTAAATTTCGACAATTACGATATTCAATTTTCATCATTACACTTAATGATATATTTAAATGAAAATATGTTTAACTTTCAATTTGACAGATGTTAGTTAAAAATTCATTACTTGATGTGGTAAATGCATTATTTAAGTATGATATGATGTTGCTGAGATAAGATTTGATATTGTTATACTCATAACTGATGCTACTACATTACTACCTAATGTTGTGTTTGATGATGACAATTGAGTATAATAATAGTCATAATATAAATTTTAAAAAAAGAAGAATAAAAATAAAAATTGGAGACCTAAAATGAATTTTTACTATTTATCAATATTCAGCTATAATTATTGTGTTAAATACAAAATTAATAGCAAGCTGAGACCCATCATGAGTGTAAATCAAAGATAAATACCATGTACAGTGCGTTTGTAACGGCATATTCCTTTTTATGCTTCTCTTTTTTTTTCTTTATTCTACAACGATCTAAAGATATCTTTAATCTCATCTCCTCGTTCTCCATTTGCAGACAGTTGAAGATAAAAAAAGAAAGGGACGTATGAAATAATTGGTGATGGCATGGTGGAGATACAGAGACCCTGTGTGGTTTGTCACAGCATTCTATTTTATATTTCATTTTATCTACGTTTGAGTCATTAATTGAAGATTTATTAACATAAGAATGATACAGCAGTTAAATATCCACATTTAAAGCTACAAATATTTAAGCTTTTAAGAGTTCGGATACATGTGTGCAGATATTTCAATTATCTCTCAATCATATCTACATTTATTTATGTATAATCTAAGCAAATTGTAGATGAATAGTAATAGTATCCATAGATTTACGTAGAACAACATGTGAATGTGTTGTAATATGGCCATCAAATAATATGAAAAATACAACTTTATGTATAATACAGATGTGAATACAATGATTGAATGCATCGATAAATTATTTGAAAGATTTTATCAAAAACAAATTTGCTAATCTATTATTTATTTCAAATTCATTAAAATATCAATTTTTCAAAATAATTGTTTTCGCCTACAGACGAGATAAGATCAAAGGTTAACAAAACATCAAGCACTAATAGTATGGTATTTATTATTTGACAACGATTATGCACGTTTTTTATGTACGTGATCAGAACTAAACTCGATCTGTTTATCACTGGTGGAACAAGAATGTAATAAAATAAAGTAAATAAAATAAAAAACAATAAGATAATAAAAATCAATAATATAAAATAGTATAATAACATCGAACAATGATAATGGATATATAAATACTAAAAAATATACCATTATCATTATTTAACATTATGTATGACTAGGAGACGTTAAATAGACATAAAATTTGCTAAAAATAAATACTAATGATGGATAAGAATATCCAAAAGCTCTATTAAAATTAAATCAAGTCAGGTTACAAATAAATTAATAGAAAAAAACAATTTTATTTCAATTATTTTATATATTAAATGAAATAGTACAAGATATATAAAATTTTACTATTCAATAAATAAATCGATATTAAAGAGCTAAAATAAATAAAATACTTACTATTGGTGAATGACTAACTAACTAAAACGATAGATCGAAATACAACATATTATACTGATATTTTGATTAATAACTAGGCATTATTGAGAAGTAAAATAATATTATTTGAAAAAGAAATAATCTTTTCTATTGACTTCTATCTTTTATATTTTTTAGACACTGATTGAATATTTTTATATCATAATGCTTTTGCTTTTTATTATATCTGTCTGTATCTGAATAGAATATTCTTAACGTTAACTATAAATATGAAAATTATAGAAGTTTTATTTGTTTTACAACAGTGTACTTGAATTGTTTTCTCTATACATTTTATTGCAAAAAAATTCCTTCAAAACAAAAACAAACTATCATGAGAGTAGATCTTTAAATCTACTTTTCCTTCTGGTCAATTAAAAAACAATATTTTAATCAGTTGAGGGTTTCATATAAATAGTTCTTTCTTTTTACCTTTTGACAACTATGTACACTAAAAGTATTGACTATTATTTTACGAATTAAGATTAATTATATTCAAAATAAAACAAACGGTACATATTTAATAATTTATAGATTTGTTTTCGTTGATTTTCTTATAAAGAATGTATGATATGTATATGAAATGAATATGATCTATAGAGAAACAGCAGATTTTGTATTTAAAGTGAATTTAGACTATTTTGCGAGAATATTTTGTGTTAATTTCAAGTGCTTAATCATCCTTTAAATACGTACTTTCGGTGTATTTTTAGTATATTTTAGTGTACTTCAAATCTGTCACTTTTCTCTTGATATCAAATAGATTACAATCAGCTTGCGCGAGATATAAGAGTAATATTATGTTTGATGTATTTTTATCTATTCAAAACGTGTATTTTACGTATACACAGTATTCATATATACATAAGGTAAGTAACAAAAAACAGAACACTAACCATAAAAACTTTGTTGATCATTGGGGTATAGTATATACACTGATTATCAAATGACTATGTAATTTGAATAAGAACTAGATACAGAAAATATTATTCGAAGACTTACTACTTTATAACTGAGTTAGCATATTCGTACAAAGAGAAGAGTATTTTTTAAACTGTCCTCATACAAAGTTTTATCAATAGAATTAGTATTATTTGAGTCACATGGATCATTTAAAAGCTAAACTTATCTATCTCGAATTCGTGTTTTAAAATTGAAGTTCAGCATAATTCGGCATAGATAATATTATTAAAAAGCAATTCACTGGAAAGATGATATATTATCTGTCTTTCGAGGGATTAGTTTTTCGTCTAGATCTGATAATATATTGTTTTTTTATTTAGAAAAAATAAAAACGAAAGTACTTTTATTATTATCTCCATCGATCAAAATTGAAAAATGTCCAATAAAGAATATCGATTATTAGACAATACAGGTTTTGACTCGCTCAAACTATGTACATCTTCATCGGTTCCTCAACCAGGTCCAGGCGAAATTTTAATTAAATTTCATGCTTGTTCTCTTAATTATCGAGATTTGGCTATCAGCAAGGGACATTATCCATTGCCTATGAAATCTGGAATTGTACCAGCATCTGATGGAGCAGGAGAAGTTACAGCTGTTGGTGAAGATGTTACATATTTCAAGATTGGTGATCGAGTCTCGCCTAATTTTAATCTAGATCATATTGGAGGACAACTTACAGAAGAAGCAGTTGCAACCGGTCTTGGTGGCAAAATTGATGGATGTCTTCGTCAATACGGCGTCTTTCGAGCACTTAGTTGTGTCAAGATTCCATCCTCGCTTTCTTTTGAAGAAGCTGCGACGTTACCTTGTGCAGCATTAACAGCTTGGAATGCTCTTTATGGAGTGCCTGACAAAATATTAAAACCAGGTCAAACTGTTCTCGTTCAAGGTACCGGAGGAGTTAGTCTCTTTGGAGCACAATTTGCACTAGCAGCTGGTGCTAAAGTTATCGTTACTTCATCATCCAATGATAAAATTGCTACAGTCAAAAAGCATCTTGGAGAAAAGAATGTTTTGACAATTAATTATTCGGAAATTCTAGAATGGGGCAAAAAAGCTAAAGAATTAACCGATGGACGAGGAGTTGAACATATTCTTGAAGTTGGTGGCGAAAAAACACTAAAACAATCGCTTGAAGCACTTGCATTTGGTGGTTCGATTAGTCTCATTGGATTTCTTAGTCACGGTAGCGGTCCGAGCATGACTGTCACAGATTTAACGATGGGAGCATTACGTAAAAATGCCTGTATTCGTGCAGTTTTAATTGGTAGCGTTGAACAATTTAATGCGATGAATGCTGCTATTGAGACACATAAGATTAAACCAATTATTGACAAGGTATTTGAATTCGAAGATTTGAAGAGTGCTTACGAATATCAATGGTCACAACAGCACGTTGGAAAGGTCGTTATCAAAGTATCACAATAAATGTGCTAGATCAATTATTAATGAACAAATTTTATAACTTCAAAGTGAACTGGCATATTAATTTTAGTTTCTAAAATTTTGAAAATAGTTTTTAGATAGATGAATTAGTTTTTGTTAAAATGATACCGTATACTATAAAGCTTTAATTACTAAACCAATAAAAAGATCAAAGAAGTCAAATTCAACTAAAAAATGTGATTCTACGTTCATATTTTGATATGAATGACTACAAAAAAATGCAACTTTATTCATAAGATGATACTTGACGATGTGTAGATTACTTTTCTATTTCTTTAGTCATAAATGCACACTTGTTCATATACGATCAAATATAGATTAGTACAACAAAAATTAAAACAGAAAAAAAAGTATTGTAAAAAAACAAATAAATATGATAGGTAAAATCCCTCATGATAGTGTAGAGATGAAATAAAGGTATAAAAAAGAACTTATGCGACACGTATTCATCTATTTAACTCATAGCTTATTTCAAGAAAAAATTTTAATTCATATCATAATCTCTGTGAGAAATCAACAAATACCATTCACAATGAATAGCATGCATGAATGCGTTTTTTATTCTCTACAAAGGCGTTGATTTTCGTTCGTACGTCAAGGACAAAACATTTATTATATACATATTTGTTTTCGCACAGTACACAGTACATTTCTATTGGTTTGTATTTGGTTAACTATCTCGACAATAATTGTTTAGAACATTATACATAGATAGTATGGATACTACTCACAGTACTGAGAACTCTAACATTCAATTAAATTCAGAAGAACGTGGCTGTCAATTCAATACGGAGAAATATTTAAGTATACATGCATATCCTACAATGATTCCAGCACTTAATTTTATTATTGAAAATCTCATTCGTATTGTCAATGAAAATAAGACTCGATTAGGACACGATCGAGCACTTGAATTTGGTGGTGGACCATCACTTCTTGGTTCATTTCTATTAGCACAGAAAATAAAATCAATTGTTTTTGCTGATTATATTTCACATAATCTAACAGATGTGGAAAATTGGGTGAAAGAAAAACCAAATGCCCACAATTGGAGTGATCTTTTCGATCGAGTTATTCAAGAATATCAAAAACAAGTATATTTAAACAGAAAAAAATATTCAATTTTTTATTTTTTTTTCTTATTTTTAGACTGAAGATATGTCAGTAAAACGATCAGATTGGGAAAAACAATTAAGAGAAGCCATCAAACATGGTGGTCTATTCGAATGTGATGTCAATGCTGACGATGGTCCAGTATTAAATGGTGAACCAAAACATTATAATGTTGTGTTAAGTAGTATGTTTCTGGAAAGAGCGTGTACTACACATATTATATACAAGCACACGATTAAGCGTTTATATGAGCTTTTGAAAGAAGATGGTTTAATTATTTTGATAAGTGATCTAGATCAAACTTATTATATTGAAAATGAACATCGTCATCCCATCTTATCATTGAATAGAACGTTTGTTATCGAAGCACTAAGAGATGCAGGTTTTGAAGATATTCACGATGAAAGTCAAAATCAAGAATTAGATAAAGTTGCAGATGGCAATGCTGTGATGATAATTACTGCTTTTAAACCAAAATCTTCTATCTGAAACACACATCATTTTTGCATGATATTGATAGTTCAAAATCTTCAATAACAAATTAAGCATTTTTTTCTCACAATAAACTTGTATTGATTATTTTTTTTTGTTTTTACTAGTTACTCTAGATTCATGTAGTTTGTACTTAGATAAAGTATATATTTCAGTTATATACAATGATTATAGAATAAAGAAATTATTCTAGTATTTACTCTTTCAACTTGTATTAGTTTGTGTCATACAAGAAACTTTTCTAATTGATGAAGAAGAACGAAAAAGAGAATCGTATCAAGTTAGTTCTACTCAATTAAATTATTTGTAACAGATTGAAAATCTACGTCGACATCATAATTGGATACCTTTTATTGTTGAATTAGTCAAAGTATATGCAATACAAGGAGTTCGCATGTCTGGTGTTGATAAGATTATTATTTTTATAGTATTTCTTTTGATTTGATTAAAAAAATAACGAATTGAATTTAATTTTGGTATAGACTATTGTTGCAAAAGAAGCTGAAGAGAAACGTGAAACAGACAAAAAAAAGAAGCGAATATGATTGAAATAATGGATTTTTATTGTTATTTTTTTTTATTTATATTTCCTTTTGAAAAAAAAGAACGAGTTTGTTTAATTGATAAAATAGATTATTGAGTAAAACATCTGGACAGAAGACAAAAAAGTGTTGTCTAAAACTATTTATTTTTCATTCAGTTTATGCACCTCTGTCTCAATGGTTATTGATGAAGTGTTTCAGTATATATAAAGAAAAGATGACATTCATGTATTCAATCAATGATTGATAGACAATATGAGAATATACTGTGAAATTAGGTGGCATAATTCAATATAGTTTAAGATGTTAGTCTATTTAGTACATATTTCTTCTAAGTAGAAGCGAAAAATGTGTTGTTATTATTTAATATTAACACATTTGAGTTGACATGATCACCTAAGAGATGATTCGCTTATCTCATCGATCAACAAATTCATTCACTTAACACGTAATAAAGTGATTATCTAAAGTTGCTTATAATGCGTCAGTTTCAGTTCCGGTATATTACTTTTCATCTTGAGTAAATGAGTGAATATTCTATAGATAAAAAAGAAGCAGCATATTCTAATGAATAGAATTCGTTACACATCGAACTTTATTCACATATATATGTATATATACAAACGTATAACCTGTTTCAAACATATATTAACTATCGTTTGAATAGAAAGGTAAGAAGGTTTACCACTTTACAAATTCACACTACTTAGATACATTTTATCCAAAGGCAATCATTGTAGTACTAGTATTGATGTTCATTTCTTCTTTCATAAACAAGTTAGATCTCGTTGTACATTTTTCTTCTTTGCACTTTTTTCTGTTGACTTAACTATGAAGTGGGTTCTTCTCGTTCAGTTCAAAAGTTGATCGGCAAAGCTTTGAATCAATTGAAACTGAATGAAAAGAAGTGAAATCGTATATCATGAGAATAAAATTTGTATCGATATTCTTTTCTTATGTATAACATATTACACGAAATTAAAAACAAAAAAAATATGTTCTCACTCTTTTTTCTTTCTTTTCAATTAGAATTCAGAGTGCTATTGATTATTGAACATATTAACCAATTCAATATTCGTTTTTTCCTTTTTTCTCTCTCTCTCTCTCACTTCTGCCTAACGGGTGTGAAGTGACCTTCTTGTTCCATTCCTATTTCTCTTTTTTTTTGTTTGTACGAAAAAGCAACTTGAAGATGATGATGTTGAGTGATTGAAATATATAAACGAAGAGAGTAGCTACTGAGTATATACACATATATATCGGACAGTCGTTGATCGAGAAGTAATTATCCTAGTATTAATAGCAGAAATTTGTAAGATCATTCATATATTTTTTAGTACAATTATAATTGACAATCATATTAAGGTAGACAGGACAGGAAGCTTCTTATAATTTTTGAAATAAGAGAGAGAGAATCGTCTTACTTAAAAAGAGATTTGAGTGTATTGAATCTTAAGGTCACTTAAATCTATTCTTACATCATTCTTTAAATTAAATTTCTTCTCTTTTCTTCTTTTTTTGCAGATTGAATTCGTCATCATGTTACGGATGTTCTTTTTTCTCATCATGCTTATTCAACCTCTTTCAACTTATGAAATATTTAAATTTACCGTTAAAGAAAAATCTCCAATAAATACATTAATTGCTGATTTATCATATGAATTAAAAATACAAAATTTAGCATTATATTCATTAAATGAATTAATACCAATAAATAAAAATTTAATAACAATTAATAATCAAACTGGTCATTTAACAACTATGTCAATTATTGATCGTGATCAAATGTGTATTCAACAACAATGTTCATGTAAATCATGTGAAATTATTTTTCAACTTACTATTCAAATTCAACAAACAATTATTTATAAAATAATCGAAATTAAAATTGAAGATCGAAATGATCATTCACCTATATTCGATAATCAATCAATGATACATATCATACATATCAAAGAAAATGTGCCTTTAGGCTATCGAATTGTTTTACCAATTGCAAATGATCCTGATGAGGGTATGTTTATTGATCTTACGTATATATGTGTATACTAAGCCTTAAGCATTATTTATTATTCTTTAGGATTGAATAGTGTACAATCATATAGTCTTGATGGTATTAATTCTGATGATTTTGATGTAGATTATTCTTCAATTGATATACCATATTTAATTGTACGTTCATCACTTGATCATCAACGTATATCATCATATTCTTTAACATTAATTGCATCTGATAATAATCAACAATCGAAATCACGTTCAGGTTCAATACAACTTACTATACGTATTATCAATGATTCAATGCCAACATTTCTTCAATCTGTTTATACGATTGATATACGTGAAGATACAATAATAGGAACAAATCTATTAAAAATTGAAGCAATTAGTGATAATAATAAACAAATTTTTTATGAACTTTTAACTGAATCACCATTTATTATTGATCGTCTAACAGGAAATATTCAATTACGAAAATTATTAGATTATGAAAGAGAGAAATCTTATCGATTAATAATTAAAGCTTATGAAAATTTAATACCTACTTATGCAATTATATTTATTCGTGTTATTGATATTAATGATAATCCTGTTGTAATTCATATTAAAGTTGAAGGTAAAAATATATTCAAAAAAAAAACAACAGTTTATTTTAAATAATAAAATATTATTTAGGAAATACAACATTAAAACAAACACATAATGATAAAAATGTTCTTTTTATTCCTGAAGATACATTAGTTGGCACAACATTGACACATGTTACTCTTACAGATCTTGATTCATACGGTAAATAATTCAAATTTTTAAAAAAAAAGATAATTTAAATAAATCTAGCATCGATATAACTCCTATGAAATTTTGATTCACACACCTGAGAAAATAAATATTGATTTGAATACGTTCCATAACTAGAATAGAGTATATGAAAGATGCGCACGATGTTGGAAACAAAACGAACCCTCACTTCGTATCCTTATCGGAAAGACGACTACAAATCTTTGAGTTGAGTACTGTAAAAATCGACTTTTCGCTTGAATTCAAGCCAATCAGAGACCTGCATCGGAGTTAACTAAATCTCTTGCCTATAATTCATTTTTTACATTAAATTTTTTTTGAGGTGAAGGTTTTGTTCTCTAATGTTTTCTCTGCAAACCTATATATGTCTCATTCTTCTATTAGTATAGATTTTGATAATATAATCATAATTATTCATTTTATTTAGTTAATGGAAATCCATATTTACAATTAACAACAATTCAACCTCCATTACCATTCATTTATAAATTAATCTATCAAAATAATTTTCAAAATTTTAAACTTTATTCTTTAATTCTTCATACTAACCTTGATCGTGAGTTAAAATCAATCTATAATAATATTCAATTAATTGCTCATGATTCTGGTACACCAACATTACATACAAAATTATCAATTTTATTAAATATAACTGATATTAATGATTGTATACCACAAATTCTAACAAATTCAACAATTTATGATATCAATGAAAATGATCCTATTGGTCTTATTCTTGATACATTAACTGCATATGATTGTGATTTAGGTATAAATGCTGAATATGAATATTCTATATTAAATACAACTGATTTATTAGTTATTAATGCTCGTACAGGACAATTAAGTTTAAATCAATCGATTGATTTTGAAAAATTTCATCAACAAAAAAATCTTACAACTATTAATTTAGAATATTATATTCAAGTTAAAGATCATGGTCAACCATCATTATCAAGTCAAATAAAACTAATTCTTCGTATTCATGATTTAAATGATAATTCACCTATATTCGATGTAAATCAATCATATAATTGGACATTTCCACATGTATTACTTCAAACAAATTCAATTCTTGGTCGTATTTTAGCTTATGATAATGATTCAGGTTTACAAGGCATTGTACATTATTCAATACGTTCATTTGATTCATGTTTAATATTAGATATAACATCTCTTGGTTATATTTATATTCAATCACAAAAATCTTGTTCATATTTATCCTATATTTTTGAAATAACAGCAAATGATTATGGTCTACCCAATTCACGTTTAACAAAACAATTATTAACGATTAATATTGATTCAAATTCATTATTAATTCATTCATTACCACAACTTTTATCTTTATCAATTCATCGAACAATTGTTGATATTAATTCTATTGGTAATATTTCATTTATTATTGATATAACAAATAATCATTCAATACAACCAAAAGTTTATTTGAATAATACGGATTTATTAACATGTTGGAATATAAGTTCAACCGGTGAAGTTCGTCTTATAGCTCGACCATTTGCATCATCATATATTTTATCATTAAATATTATTGATGAATATATAGAAGAGAATTTTTTTCTAAAATTTCAAATTGATATATGTAATAGTACAATGAAAAATTCATGTCAACAATTACTAATCTATGATGATAAGAAAGATAATCAAATATTACTTTTTTGGACAATTTCTTTAGCATTAATGATAACATGTTTATGCGTATTTATATTTTCAATAATAACATGTTTATGTTGTCGAAAACAACCGAAAGATAAGAAATTATCAAGTAACCAACAAAATTTTCTACAACGTAATGAAGATTTTCAAAGTGATAGGGTAAATGAAACTATGAAAAGTTTAATAATTTAACTTATTTGTTTTTTTTTTCAGACTTTTAAAAGTTCATCGGCTTCAACTATTCGAGAAGATGATCGTATGTTGATTTGTTTGAAAAAAATATTATATATATATATTTCTGTTTTTTTGTGTTTAGGAGATTCAGCATGTATTATCAATTCGACATTATCATCGAATGTAATGCCAGTACGAACAAATTCGTGGTATCAAAATCGACGGGAATTATCAAATGTACAAACGTATCAATCGAAAACTTGTTTTTATGATATAAAAATAGCAGAATTAATACGTAATAATCAACATCCAGCATGTGTATTTTTAAATCCTAAACCATCTCAATCAATAAGTACTGATTATGGATTTGGTAGTTCAGATGTTTCTCCATCATCAACATCATGTTCTTTAACAAAATTAAATAATTTAAATGTTAATACACTTGAATGGAATTATGAAATGATTACTGATCAATCACCACCACCACCATCATCACGGCCGATGAACAAAAATAGTTTTATTTCAACTCATGAATGTGTTGTTTAATATAGTCATTAGTTTTTCTTTATTCTATACGCTTGCCATATAACAAAAAAGAAGTTCTGTTTTTGTGTATATATTAAATCAATTGAAATAAAAAAAACGTTCTACTAAAATTTTTAATACGCTATATTTTAAAAAAACATCACTGTGTATCAAATTTACAGTTGTTTTTACAGTACAAATGTATACATTCGAAGAAATCATTTTATGTTTTCAAAAGAACAGCTAGTTGCATATCAAGGATTGAATTGATTGTGAGCTCTGTTTCTTTTTCAACCTTTGACATACGTCATGCTTATTTGTTAAAAAAAAAATTTGAATATTATTAACCGATATATATTAAAAACATCATTCTTCGTATGATGCATTTAGTCATCCGTTGCATAATATAATCCTGTACTGTTACCATTGAATGCAATACTTGAGGTGATAAAGTAGAAAATATCAATACTCATCTGTTTTATTTATATTGTACATCCCTGACTAGACAGGATTGAAAAGTAAATGATGTTAATTGTAGTTTGTAAAAGTTTATTGTCAGTATGAATACAGAAAGTATCCCGTTATATATATTCTTGAATTAAAGCATTCATCTATGAAATGGTGAAATTTAATTATTCTAGAAGAAATTAACGATTACATTTATGTGTGAGTGAAGTAGATCACATTGAACAACGTACTTATCTACGTAATATTCTTCTCTTATTTTCCATAGTTTTTATCTATCTCAATGATTTTATTATCGATTCTCTGCTAATAAACATAAAATAATACTTCTGTTTTGAAACAGATAAGAGATACAAATATGTATATTCCTAAATACATTAACTAGCGGTTGTAAAAATCTTCCCCGTGTATATATATTAGATATAAAAACAGTAGTTATTAGAAGACGTCATATTAAATAATGATTGTTGGTTGATTTTGTACAGATTTTACATGCTCTGGTAAGTTTATAATAAATGAAAGTCATGTTTATTATATTGCATAAGAAAAACAAAACGTATCTGCTATTATATACTCAATATCGAACGGATGCAATAAGTATGAATCTTTAAATTTTATAAACAAGACAATCATTGTATTCTATATCGATTTCAATACAATATATTAGATAGTAATGATAGAAGAAGCGAGAATTTAAGATTTAACTAATGTGTATTGAGTAAAAAATATCTTCATTTCATTCATATATATGTACAGGTAAATTATGTTTATGACGCAAAAGCTATTCGTCAGTATTGTTTTTAACACGTGTATTGATACTTTTCGTTTAAGCTATGACAAGAACTGTTTTTTGTCATTGAATATATATATACAATGATTATTTATAGAGTATGTTATTATCGATGACGATACGTACAGATTTTTCTACTGTTTATTTGTTTTTCATTATTTCGTTCATTCATTGTAATGAATAAGAGACGCTGTTTAATATACAGTGTCAGGCAGTGCATAATACACTAGACTAAAACGATGCATATCTATATGCATTGATAACATCATTTTATTTTAGATTTAACATTTTCAGATCGTGCTCATGAAGGGAAATAGTCGTTTTATTTCTATTATTCTGATGATCGCTATTCTGATCTTCTCAGGCATACATTTGGGTATTAGTATTGGAATTATTGATAGTTCTCATCAGTATGGTAATATTTTTCGTCGAGAACAAGATTTGTCTATATTCAATATTATTATCGGTATTCTTGGTATAATTATTAGTTTATTTGGTCTCTTTGCTTTAATAACTAGACGTGTAGTTTTGAGTAAGTAAATCTTATTTCTATTAAAAACAGCCACCTGCAGATGAGGTTCATATATTTAATTTCTCTTTTAAGGTAAAATTACAGCTGGTAGTTGTTTGTTTCTCAGTTTATGTGCACTTGTTTCTTTGATTGCTGCAATTGCAATTAATTTTGGAGCCGCTAGTTATATTAGTTCACATTTCTTGAATAATATGAAGCGTTATGATACCAGTGCACATGCTCGAAATAGCATCGACAATATTCAACGAAATTATGATTGTTGTGGTCATAAAATGTGGATTGATTGGGCAACAATATCATCAGATGCAACGTTATCCAATATAGATAAAACAACTAGCTCAAGCACAACGATATCATCTGATATGAATGTACCACCTAAAAATGGAGATGGAAGAAAAAATAGCAAGAGTAAGACTACACCAGAAACCGAAAGTAGCACAACATCTAATATTATAACAAATTATGTTGTCTGGCCAAATTCGAACAGTAACCAAGATTCAAATGAAGAAGTGCAACAAGTACCATCTCAAAATTCAAAACCAGAAATACAAATTTATCCAGTATCAAAAACAGCAATGCAATCTAATAATCCTTCGTCTGTATATAGAGTCAGCGATCGTAATCCACAGGACAACAATGCAGCACCATCGAACCAATTATATTATATACAAAAACGACAAATACAATCAAACCATCCCAATATCGATGATATATCTTCACCTTTTAATATCTTTTTACCTGAATCATGCTGTGCAAATAGAGTATCAACAGTATTCAATTCATTTGATTCATGTGAATTTTATTTTTCCATATATTGAAAAATTAGGAAAAAATATTAACATTCTTTTATTTTTCTTTAGATTGTGTATCTAGTGCTGATGATACACCAAGCAGTTATCATAAAGTTGGATGTTCAAATAGAATTAGCAAAGTTGCTGCTCATCAAACAACTTCTATTGCCATCATTAATGTTTGTCTTCTTATTTTTGCATTGGTCGCCATTCCTGTAGTTAAAACAGCGTATTCTAATTATGAAAGTCCTCCAAAGAAATATAGAAATTCATCAATACAAAGTCAACAATTTCATTATGGATATTCCGATCATGCTGTATTCAATAAAACTCCAAAAACTTCCGTTATTAACTACAATACGGACTATTCAATATTTCAGTAAAATCATAAATTTCAAAACACTTATATTCGATAAAGCACGTATTAAACACGTTACATGGATTTATTTTTACACTATTTTTCTTTTATGTGTATTTACTAACTAATCATTTTTAATAATAAACAATTCCATTCATTTCAAAGAGTACATTGTTAATACCGTTCGAATAGGAATGTTGTAGGATGTAATTGCTTATTTCCTACAATATTAGCTTGTTTTACTATAATTGTTTTTTGGCATTTATACGATATGTAACTTATTGTTAATAGTAGTATTCATTCTTAACACATTTTTTTTGATTTAACGACTGATATAAAGATATCTGAATAAAGAAAACAGTAAAGTTAAGGATATTTATTCATATCGTAGTCATCTCTTAATGAGACAATAGGATTTCTTTGGTAAAAATATCCTGTATGAAAGTATGCAATTTCATAGTTTTCTATTAGCATAATTGTAAACTTATCTTAATATGAATTATAGTGAAATTTTATTCTCTTATATTAAGGACATAAAATCTATTTTTCTGTTTACCTTTGGTTAAAAGTTTCTGCGTAATATACATCATTATTACAAATATAAGAAGGGTAGAGTGATATTACGACATTTACTTGTTTTAGTCAAAAATATCGTAAATCAATGACAATAACAAATGATAGCAGTCTATTGAAAACAAATTTCCTAGTAAATAAAATTCTAGGATACCAATAATCTGATGATCGGTGCTAATAACGCTAATGATGAAACATATAGTAATGATAATGAGTCAAATATAGGTCTTTAAATCAAAATGAATTCAGATTTTTAAACAATCCAATCTATCTTATTTTGATGAAATATGTTATATGTTGCAAAAAATTCAGTATAATGGAAAAGTATCATTCACTTTCACTATTATTCGATTAGAATGAAAATAGTTTTCTTACTGAAAACGTATAAACGATAAAACTGTTTATTAATGCAAATTAAAGAAAACTCTTCGAAGTATAACTGTTAAATATTATAAATATAATAAAATTCTTCAACCCAAAATTGATTTAGCTTAATTTTCTTTTATTTTTGAGATAATCAGTATATATACACTTGGAAAACACGTATATTTTATAGTTACTGATGATAAAGAGGATAAAGAAATAAAAGTTAACAATGTATCGAATGTAAAAGAACAGAACAATCTTGAGAGTTATAATGATGATATCGTGTTATCATCACTAACATCATCATAACAAAACACAACTATTTTTACTTGAGATTTATTACATACACGTTGCTCTTATTGTATGCAAATAATAGTTACTTTATTACCAGGACTTCATATTGTGCGATAAACAAAAAATCTTCGTATTGCATTTTACAGACGAATTTGGCTCGCGCATTATCTGATTAATTTTTATAAAATCAAATATACATATGAGTTGAATATACCTCGCTTCATTTTTCTACGAGAGTGAGTGCATAAGTGTATGAAAAAAGAACCTATTTAGTCATTCAAATGATTATAAATCATATACTATACATATATATTGAGAAAAACTATTATTATAATCCATAGATTTCTGTTATCTTCTTCTTTGATGAACTGATACAAAGATGTCTCAAGATCAAAATCACTATATAATTCTCAAAAATTCAATGTGAATAATAACGGATCAAGTCTATAGAAAACCGACAGTTATAGTTCATTCATTACATTGAGGGCTAACAAAAAATAATGTAGTATATTATTTCTAAACCATTTACATTGTGCGACATCTGTTATATTTCGAAATCATTTGAAATTAATATTATAATATTTTTTGAAATTAAAATTACTATGAATAAGTTTGATTGAGACAAAGTAGAAATATTTTAATAAAATCTCATAAGATGTCAGTAGTTATATGATTTAAATGACTCATTTGTTTATTTGTTTGATCTTTTTTTTTTCGATTCCTCAGATCTCTAACTCTCACTTGTCTATTATCTTTATCAAAAAAAAACATTAAAAAACAACATCGCCAATGTCATTTTCTTCATTACCTATAATTGATCTTAAAGCAGATGAATCAATCATTATACAAGCAATGTTAAATGCTTGTTCTACAACTGGTTTTTTCTATCTTCGTAATCATAATCTTCTCGATGCTCAAGAACATATGTTTAAACTTGCAAAAGAATTCTTTCGTCTACCATCGAACATAAAAGAACAATATGGTATAACAGAAGAAAATTATGGTTATGTTCGACGTGGACAAGAAAATCTTGCTGGAAATGAAACAAAATCCATTGATGAAAAAGAAGCATTTAATATAAGAAATTTAGTTCAACCTAATGAATTACCTTCATTAATGGCTCAGTCAGATAATTATGAAATTATTACTAAATTTCAAAATGATTGTTATGATTTATGTATGAAATTATTAACATATCTTGCTCAAAGTTTTGATATTGATTCAGATTATTTTACATCAAAACATAAACGAGAACTTAAATCAGCGGGTACACTTCGACTTCTTCATTATCCTGCTGTAAAAAATTATTCCGATGAATCTATTCGTGCTGGTGCTCATTCTGATTATGGTTCATTAACTCTTCTTTTTCAACATTTACATCAATCAGGTCTTGAAGTACTTGATCGTTCAACAAATACTTGGTATCCTGTTGAACCATATGATGATATGATTGTTGTTAATTTTGGTGATGTTTTTGAATATTGGTCAAAAGGTTTCATTAAAAGTACTGTTCATCGTGTTACCATGCCAATAATTGATTCAACTAAAGAAAATGAACGATTTTCCATAGCATATTTTTGTCATCCAAATGATTCAGCATTATTAACACCAGTTCCATCGAAATTAATTCTTGATCGAGAATTTGAAAAAGATGAACATGCAAAACTTGCACTTCAGGATAATAATCAAAATACATTAACAGCTGGTGAACATTTTCAAATGCGAATCAATAAAACATATACATATTAGTAATTATGATATTTAACATATCTTTCGATTTTTCTACAATGTAATTAGTCAGATAATATTTTTTCTTAAACAATGTAATTTTGTGATTTTTTAATAGCTGTGATCAGGTGATAAATATAGAATGATTTTTTTTTCTATGGGAGAATAGATAGATGTTTATATTAATTTCAGATTGCTTTTTCTTAATTTAAATTGAACAATGAAAGACGATCTTCTCTTTAATCTTGATCATGGTTATGCTGAAGGTTTATGTCGTGGTTTTAGAAGTGGAATTTTAAGCAGCTCGGATTATCATAATTTAGTACAATGTGAAACACTTGAAGGTAAGATTTTTAATACTATCGAATATTTTTTTCGGAGAATATATATTTTAGATTTACGACTTCATCTTGCATCAACTGATTATGGTAATTTTTTGGCTAATGAATCAAGTCCATTAACTGTTAATGTTATTGATGATCGTCTACGTGAGAAACTTGTTCAAGAATTTCAACATCTACGAAATATTTCTTATGAACCATTATCAACATTTCTTGATTATATAACGTAAATTATTTAATATATAATTTTATCAATTATTTTATTTTTTGCTTCTTAAAGATATTCTTATATGATTGATAATATTGTCTTATTAATTACTGGTACACTTCATCAACGTCCAGTTACTGATCTTTTACCACGTTGTCATCCTTTGGGTATTTTTGAAACACTTGGTAGCATTACAATTGCTGATACACCATCACAACTTTATAATGCTGTACTTGTCGATACACCATTAGGTATAGAATTCAATGATTTATTTAATGATATATATACATACAATCTTTTTTTTCTTCTTTCAGCTCCATATCTTACGGAGAATGTTTCTGAACATGATCTTGATGAATTAAATATTGAAATCATACGTAGTACACTTTATAAAGTAAATAAATCATTTATTTGATTCGATTTATTTTAATATTTTTATTCTAGGCATATATTCAAGATTTTTATAATTTTTGCAAGAATCTTGGTGGTATTACAGCCGAAGTTATGTGCGAAATTCTTGCCGTATGTATAAAAGAAAATAAATAAACAAAAAATAATATGATATATTTATTTAGTTTGAAGCTGATCGTCGTGCATTTATGATTACAATCAATTCATTTGATACAGGTCTTACACAAGATGAACGAGCAAAACTTTATCCAGAATGTGGTCATTTACATCCCGATGGTTTACAAGAATTACGTCGTACTGATAGTTATGAAGCCGTACGTGATGTTGCTGCTCGTTATCCTGTAAGTTATTTATTTTCTTTCGTAAAAAATAGATCTAACGAATTCATAATTATTCTAGCAATACCATGCATTATTCGAAGGAACTGGCACAAATACAGGTGATAAAACAATTGAAGATAAATTTTTTGAACATGAAGTAAAGAATTTTATTTTAATAAAACAATTCATATTTTTATATTTGTGTTAAGGTTAAGCTTAATAAGAATGCATTTCTTCGTCAATTTCATTTTGGTATTTTCTATGCTTATTTAAAATTAAAAGAACAAGAAAGTCGAAATATAATTTGGATTGCTGAATGTATTGCACATAAACATCGAGCACGGTAAATATTTTTTTGTACTAAATTCTATTAAAACTATTTTGTTTTTATTTAGAATTGACAACTACATACCAATATTTTAGAATGACTAGAAATTTTCTTCCATTATAACAGTGCAATGTTGTTTGTTTGTTTTGTAAAATTTTATTTTATTATTATCCTAATTATTTTGTGTGTGTGTGTGTTGTATGATGATTATTTGGATAAGAACAAATTTCCCCCCTTTTTTTTTGGTGTTTTCTTCTATTTATTGAATGATGATTTTTTTTCCCCGTAAATATATCTATACATATATATAATCGACATTCCTATATGACATGATTATAGATCTAATAATTTATTGAATATCAAATAGACAATAAGAATGGGCGATGATATAATGAATTATAATGGTGGTGTTGCTGTAGCAATGAAAGGTAAAGAATGTGTCGCTATTGCATGTGATAAACGTTATGGTGTACAAAATAAAACAATTGCAACAAACTTTACAAAAATATATCAATATGGTGATCATTGCTTTGTAGCATTTTGTGGATTAGCAACAGATGTAAGTAGATTTAAATTAAGATTTTATTTGAACAAACAGACTTGTTATTTCAGGTACAAACTGTAGCTCAACGCTTGAAATTTCGTACAAATTTATATGAATTACGTGAACAACGAAAATTAAAACCAAATGTATTATATAGTATGTTAACAAATTTACTATATGAACGACGATTTGGACCATATTTCGTATTTACACTTGTTATTGGTCTTGATCCTAAAACTGGTGAAACATATATTTATGATTCGGATAATATTGGAGCTGTTAGTGATAATGTTAATTTAGCTACAGTTGGAACAGCTAGTGATTATATATTCGGTCTTGGTATGTTTTTTGTGTTTTTGAATAATTTATAATAAAAAATTATTTTATAGGTGAATTGTTGTTTAAGCCAAATATGAATCCCGATGAATTATTCGAAGCAACATCACAAGCATTATTAAATGGTGTTGATCGTGATTCAGCTAGTGGTTGGGGTGCAGTTGTTTATGTTGTCGAAAAAGATAAAGTTACTGTACGAGAATTGAAAGGTCGACAAGATTAGACAAAATTATTCCATAGTGTTATTTGTTACTCTTTTCTTTTTTTGATTCATTTGGAAAATCCAGAAAACAAAGACAAAGTCTATTTGTTCATTCATTTACCGTCTTCGCTTTTTTTTTAAAGTTTCATTCTCAATTATCCCTTATAAACATTGGAAAAAATAAAATATATATTACAAACAAGAAAAATTTCATATTTGAAAGGATTTTCGAATTTAATCAAAATCTAGCAGGAGAATAGAATGTATTATCTTCTTCAAATATATATACACTTTGTTTTATAAGAGAATTAAGTGCATATTTTATGGAAAATAGTTTCCGTTGACTTTTGATGCATTTCTATTCTTCGGAACTTACTTTAATGTTATACTGAATAGTGTTTCAAAGAATACTTATAAGAAACACTAAAACTATTTTAATCTTATCAAAGAAAAGCGATGCCTAATATCAGATAAATATATTTAGCAATCGGGAGAAAAATCGACAAAGTTACAAATATGAAAACAAATAATTTGATGATGACGTAGACATACCTTGTAAATACAGCTTTAATTTCAAATCAATTACATGAAGTCTACATCGACCGAGATTAAATTTTACCTAACTATTTACTGCCTTTTGTTGGTAAAATAATATCGAAACCTAAGAACAAATGCACTTACAAGATTTCATTAAAGATATTAAAATAGTTTTTATTCTGATTAAGCATTCGTTACAAATCAGGGTGTGGGTACTCTGTTTCACCCTCACCCATCTCACACCCACACCCTCACCCACCTCACACCCTCAAGATGGTAAGTCATAGAAAGATTTGAATGGTATTGTTATGAGCATTTTATATCAATTGTTTCAAGTTTACAATAAGTTTTATCTACTAGTTAATTACATAAAATCTATTTTCAAAACAAAATTCTTGGCTGCTTTTTTTTAAAATTTCTTTTTTCCTTGTTTAGACTAAATCAAACAATGAGAACAGAAGATAGAGAATATAGCACATACAATTAAGTGAGATAAACAGAGAAGAAACAAAAAGAAAACACAGACAAATTTGAATGCAAAATAACAAATATACGCAAACATTTCGTCTGAATAATGTGAATAAGGACAAAAGAAAAAAGGATAATAATGGGCGAAACATATACAACTTAGATAAATAGCCAGCGTTATCATGTACAATAGTTAAATGTATGTTCAAAAGCCTTCGTTATATTCCCTAAAATAGAAGATGATTATACATTGATAATTAAAAAAAAAAGAAGCTACTAACCAATAGTCACATTCATAACCTTCAGCAACATGATCTAATAATACTTTTCGACGTGTACTACAATAACGATATTTATCTTGTACTTTTTGTTTCATTTCTGTTAGACTTGCATTTGTCTGTGAAAAATCTCTTTCTAAATATCCACTTAATTCTTCTGTAGAATGTTCTAAATCAGCTTGATTCTGTTCAAAAATAATCCTAGATAAACAAAAAATATATATATATATTATTTATTTATTTTCTTGACTTCAACAAATATTTATATATTGACTTACGAATGATTATTACGTTTAAGATAAAATGCAAATGGATATGTATACATTAATGTTTGACGACATTGACGTAGAACATCACATGCTATTTGAAGAAATTGTACTTCAATCCAACTCATTTGTTGTTGCATGGATTCCATACGTTTTTGTACTTGTTCTAATAATTTATTTTCTAATCTTAATGATTCATGATGATTATGATAACGTTTATAATAATGAAGATAACGTTGTAAAGCTGATCTTGAACGATCTTGTTCATCACGAGCTTTTTTAGCATCATCTTCATTAAAACGATTACAATTATACCAGGATGAACCATGTGGTTCCCATGCACCCAAACATACCCAACAAAATTCATATTTGCAAGATTGATTTTTACAAATTAAATGATTGCAACCACCGTTTTTTTCTAAAATTGTAAATAATAATGTAAATACTGAAGGAAATGACTTGTATCCTGTTCCAGAATTCTATTTTGCCGTAAAATTTATTAGAAAAGAAATCTTTTTCTATTTAGATTATTTCGTAACCTACAGTCGAAATATTTGTTTACATAGGTATTATTTTTAAAGTGCTTCATTGTCAACATAAATGGTACGTTAAGTGCAATTATGCATAAAAGAAAAATATTATGTACTAATAATAAAGTATTTTAAATTGAGAACTATTTGTTCAAGATTATGGTGTCTCTTTTTTTCGATTGTGTACCTCTTCGCTGAAAAAATATTTCATCGAAAGAATTTTTCTCTTCACCCACACTTTTGCAGCGGCCTCCAAACAAAAAACCGTTTTCGACGAAATCTTTTTCGGCGAAGAGGTTACATACCTTTTTTTCCTACTAACTATATTCTAACGAATCATCTATTTTTAAAAAATTCAAATTTTATTCATACCAATAGTAGCATGACATTTAGGACATTCTTTAGTATTGGCAGCAATCCAATTGCTTGTTTCACTGTCATCATGACATTTTTTTTGCCATTTTTTAAGCCATTTACATTTAATTGGTTCATGCCAATTTTGTCCGCATTGAAAACAAAAAGATGTTTTACATGTTGTACAAGTGACCTTGAGAAAAAAAAATAACAAATCGAAATAAAATCAAAAAAATTCGAATAATATTTTATTTACCATTGCTACATCACAATAAGGTGCTTTAATTGCATTAGTACAATTTGTACCAGGACACCAACGCATATTACGATTACATTCAACAAATGAATTTGTTATTAAATGTTGATATTTTCGACGAACATCAGAATCTTCAATAAGACGTAATACAGTTCTATCATCGACTAGAATGTCACATTTAGCTGGACATGGTATTGTTTGTCCAATACCTTCATGCATTATTTTATATGTTAAATACTGTTGCCAACAAATTATACAAAATGTATGACCACATTCTAGACCAGCCATATCATTAATGGGTTTTGTTGAACAGCATATAAGACATGTTTGTTCAGTTAAAGGTCGTAATGGATTCGTTGTTGTTGTTGTTGTTATTGATGCTGATGAAGGTGAAAGTGAACTAGATGATATTTGACGACGTGTTGAACGATGAGATGAAGATGATATTTGAGTTTGTAAATGAGGTCGTTTAAAAGGATTAACAATATGTGCTTGACGAAATAATTCATCTTGATGATTTGGATCATAAAAACGTTCCATTAATTTTTCTTTATCCCACCGAAAATGATGAAGTAATAGACGTACTGTTGTTGATGGTAATTTAATAACTTCATTCACTTCTTTTATACATTCAACCATATATTTGACTATATCATCTTGTGATAATACTAAAAAAAAATTTATTTAAAATAATTACGAAATATTTACATTTGGAAAAAATTCGTCCTATACTTTGAATAATTGATACTTACCCACATATTCGAAATTATTATCTTGTGGATGATTATTTGATGCATTAATACTTGTTGAATATTTATTTCCCGATTGTTCCGATGTTCCTTTTGTCTGTTTTGGTATTTGTGCTGCTGCTGATGACGTTGTTGTTGATGATTGTGATGAATATACAACTGGTTCGTCAATGGGAAAGAATCCTGTATCATCATCGGATTCTTCATTTTCATCATCATCATCTATTTCACTATCTGTATCAATATCAAATTGATCATCATCTGCCATGATAATACTAGTAGGAAAAAATTCGAATAAATTATTACTTAGTTGATATGACAACTAAACAAAATAAATACTCGATCAAGAAAAATGTCTTCGCAATATTTTCATCATATGATATCTGCCATTTTACTTGTTGACTGAAGCAGAGGTTGAAATAAAAATTAATTCTAATAAATAAAATAAAAATATTAAATTTATATTTTTTATTAAATCTTTTCAATAAAAATATTTCTAAATAAAAAAAAACGAAGTAGAATAAAATTAACGAACGACATCTATAAAAAGTTTTATTGGCTTATCTTTCTCTCCATTCTATAAGACATAGAACGGCTTTTTTTGTGCGTGTGTGTGTGTATATTTTAATTGATAAAAAAAAAGAACTTCTAATCATGTCTTTATCATCAAAAGATATTAATCTCATTTTAAATTTTCTTAATGAAGAGACATGTGGTTCATCATTAACATTCGAACAAATCTCAGCTCAATTTCAACATAATATATCTAAATCCGATTATTTACGTGTTGGAAATGCTCTTGTACTTTTATTACAAAATCGTGATTTAATTCCAACACCACAACAACGTCTTATTATACTTTTTCTTTTTAATGATATGTACAAAAGTGAACAACAATCAATACATATGAATCCATTTGCACCCGTATTTATATCCATATTACAAAATTTAAATGGAGAAAATTTTTCAACACAAAAACATTTTCATTGGCTTATATCACCTGTAACACAACATGAACGATGGTTTGTTAAAACATTAATTAATAATAGTAGTAGTAGTAATAATAATCTTCGTGATTTTATTAAAAAAACACCAAATCAAATTTTACAATCAGGTTTATCAACAATCAATGATAATAATAATGGAAAAGAAGAATTAAAAGAAAAAATACAAGAACATTTACAACAATTACCTGTTCTTGTTCAATGTCATTTACCAGCTGTTATTGATGATCCAGAAATAAATTATGTATGTTATTCTAAAATTATGATAGTATTATACACATACCGGATGACACGACGTGACAAGTATCGCTAAGAAAAGATCGACCTTTCAAGATTCTTTTATTAGTAACGATGTTGCATGTCAATATTGCATAGTTTTATAAATTTCTATTTTATTTACTAAGGATTTTTCATCATGAACACCTTCAGTAGTTGTTAGGAGAAAGAAAAGGATTAATGTTTTTGCCATGTTGGTTAAAACGTTTTTTTCTATAATTGGTTCAAATAATTCATATTATTTTAGTATGGATTTGATACTCTTATTGGTGGTCCACGTCAACGTTCAAATGATAGTCGACAAACAATTGAACGTTTATTATCAAATAATGCAATGGAACAAACTATTCGTCCAGAATTTCTTCGTCTTGTCCCACCATTACATGAATGTACAATAGATGAATTAGTTTGGCTCTCGCCAATTGATTATGATCCCTCATTATTTACATGGGATTCAACGATGTGTATTCCAAATACAACTAATAATGAAATTCGTCAGTTAATGGAAAAAGCTTATCAAGGTGTATTAAATTTACAACAACAACAAAAATTATTAGATGAAATCGATAATGATCCAAATATTGTCTATCATATCGGTCTTGTTCCATCCAAATTACCGATATTAGTTGAAAATAGTCCATTAATAAGTATCCAATGCTTGTTAAAATTAATTTCATCAAATCAAATGACAGAATATTTATCATCCTTATTGAATATGGATATGAGTTTACATTCAATGGAAGTTGTTAATCGTTTATCAACATCAATGAAATTACCACAAGAATTTCTTCATTTATATATATCAACATGTATAAAAACATGCGAAGAAACAAAAGATAAATATTTACAAAATCGTTTCGTACGTCTTGTTAGCGTTTTTATTCAATCATTAATACGTAATAAAGCCATCGATATTAAAGATCTTTTTTTGGATATACAAGGTTTCTGTATTAATTTTCGTCATATAAAAGAAGCAGGTGCACTTTTTCAACTTGTTAAATCATTTGAACTTCGAAATAATGATAATAATGATACAATAGCATCATCATCAACAACAACAACAACGATTTCAACACAATTGATAGCAAATGATGAATGATATATGTATATAGATATTTTTTTTTCATCCTCCTCCTATTTTTCATCTGTTCGATATAGTAAAATGTTATTGATGTTGTTTATTATGTTAACAAAAGATCATCTTTCGTCTTTTTCTTCTTTTCTTTTTGATATACCTATATATACTACAGTGATATCAAGTGATTGTTAACTAGTTATATTGTTTCTAATTTTAGATAATTATTATTAATAATATTTTATATGAAGTCTTCTACTACGATTAAATTTATTTTATATATTCGAGCATGATTGTTCGTAAGTTTAATTTACTTCGGTAAGATATATATTCATATTTAACTATGCAAATTGTATAGCTTAGTAATAGAAAAAAGTGTTGTAAGACTGAATAGATTTAAATTCTTATTATCAATCTAATAAATTTCACCTACGAAAATAGTGAGATATTCAAATTTATATATGATAAATCTATGTAAGATCGCTGAATGTCATAAAATGACATATATTTTTAAGTTTGAAAGAAAAACATGATTTGTCACATAAGTTTAGATATATTCGAACTTTTGAATGATGAGTCATCGGACATGCGAATATCAGGGCAAAGACATTTCGGACTAGGTATTCTGAACTCCTAGACATATGGCCGAGTGTTCGAAAATGATTTTTGTCCTAGACATCTTTCATTACAAACACCCTTCTACTTTACTATTGATTGATTTTATCATTCCAAACTCCCGTACATCTAATTCCGAACACCCTGCCTTTTTTTGCTTATGTCGGGAGATCGCAATGAAAAAGTGGCGCGAAATGTGTCATTCTCGAATATCTCGTTCATTATACGTCAAAGACAGTGCATATTTCTAATTTCATTTAAATCTATCTCATCTTCTTATTTGTCACTATCTTACCCTCATGATAAGAATGACTAATATCGACATTCTTATCATCAGTAACACTATATACAGTGTATAATATGAATTAATTATTGGTATTTACTTTCAAATAGATATAATAATTTAAAATCGTTAATCTCAATTGATAATAGATAAGATAATTTAAATAAATCATTCTATCATGCATATATATGAGTAAGATATCTGTCAATTTCGAAGATGTTTAATAGAGTGTAAAGTTAATTATCAAGATAAGTAAATCAATCAAACAGAAATGATAGACTAGAGATTTAACAACATGATATTGTCATGAACATTGTTTTATAATAGATTTTTGATTTCATTGAATGAATAAATAAGCATATGAAAATAATAAATAACAATTTTGTTTTTATATTTTGAAAAAAAAATATATGAGTGCAAAATTGTTTCAAATATTGCATCAATTTTTCCGTATAATTTTATCAAAAGTCTAGCTTACTCATACACTTACAATTTATAGAATGTATAAAAAAAAAGGACATGGTTGAACTTATATTGATATTATCTTTAGTTTCCTATCATCTATGATTCATTGATTGTTTTCAAAAATGTCCTTGAACTTTAAATATTATTAGTACGAGGAATTGCTCTAATTAAAAAACTTTTTTGTTTTAGATTATGATAAATGGAAAAACATTAATAACAATGGATCGTAGAAACATTGTATTTAGTGTTGTGCAAGACAGGTACGTTACATTGACAATATTACGTTTTTTTTTCTATAGAAAATCATCGGATTATTAATTGATCAACGAAAGAAAATCTATGCTTTTATTTTTTTTCATAATATAAGTAACGGTACATATACAACCCACACGTACACGTATGAAAGTGAATATCAAATAGAGTCCTTATCGTTGTCTCTTTCTCGTACTTTTTTTTTATAGTTTTTTAAGTTTGATTTTTATGTAAGACAAGTATTGTAAGACATGAATCATAGAGCAAACATGACGACAACACCTCATGTTAAGAGCCTGACGTCGATTTCATCATCAAAATTTGTTTTGTCCTGTTTTTTTTCTTCTTTTTTTTGGTATGCCTATATGCCATTAATCATCATCTATCGCAAAAAGGAAGAGAACGTATAGTATAAAAAACGAGACGAAAAAAAGAATCGTGCGTCATCGTCCTCCAAACCTTTTTTTTTTCTTCTTCTTTTCTTTTTCCGCCTCCTCGGCAGCTGAATAAGAGAACAATCAGGGACGTGAAGGCGAAGCAATCGCAAAAACGACGAATGAGTATGTGGTATATGTGTATGTTGTTAAGGGAGTATGCTTTATATGCACAACTATGACTCTATTTAGCACTTTTTTTTTATCTAAAGTACTTGCGTTCTGATGATATGACGCTGATTCAACGGGCGGTAAGCAGGCTGACTAATGTCTGCACCTCGTGGGACGAGAAAGTCTCGTTTTCTTTTTCTTTTTGTCTTTCCTCATGTCGGTTGCAAGAACTTTTTCTGAAGTATCTTCGTTTTCCTCTGAAATTCCTTTCTTTCAAAACATCTGTTACGTTCTCAGACATAAGAAAGAATTAATATTAAAGCTTTTTTTTCTATGTGTCATTTTATTTAGATCAAAGGTACAAACATTTACTCCAACCCTTTTTAAAATGTCAACTCAACAACAACAGCAACAACAAACGGCAGAGAAAAGTGTTCAAACACAAGATTTAACTGGAGCAACAACATTACTTGTTACAAATAATCCTATGACACATATACATACCGAGAATACAGCTGCTGAAGTTGCAAATACACTTGTTTCAATGGCTACTGGACGACAACGTACAACTACAGTAAAACAATTAGTAAGTAAAAAGTGTAATTTCGAAAGTTCTTATTTCTTCTTCTTTTTTGTTAAAGAGTGTCATTAGTGTTCCAACTCAATCAACTTTACCAATTTTATCCCTTGCTGATTATACAACATCTCGAGGTGTTCCAACAGCAATGGCTTTAGCTAATCAAGCTAAAATTACTCCATCAAAACCTGAAGATATGTTAGAAGGTGATGATGACATCGATGATACATCAATGTCAACTGATGATTATAATCAAAGTCATAATGAATTAAAAACTCGTACAAAATCAACACGTGGAAAATCAAATAAATCATTAAAACTTAGCAAACAACAACAAATTGAAGCAATTCAATATGGTCCAATTGTTGTTAAACCAAGAAAAAATACGGCACCAACACTTGCTAATGGACGAAAAAGTAAAGATGAACCAGTATGTATTATTGTTTTAATCTTCATAGAGAAATCTTTCAACTGTCATTCTTTCTTATAGCTTCCACCTGATGAAGATGTAAAACGTAAACAACGTCGTGATAGAAATAAACAAGCAGCTGCTAAATGTCGTAGAAAACGAAATGATCTTCGTGAAGAATTAGAACAAGTTAGTTTATTTATTATCAAAATTATTTTTTATATTTTTTTTATTTTGTTAAACTAGGCTGAACAATTATTATTAGATGAACAAAAAAATCTTGAACGTGCAGTTCAAACATTAAATGATCAAAAAAATCAATTAGAAGTATTACTACATCGTCATCCATGTACAAAAAAAATACGTTTACCAATTACAACTGCTAATACTATGAATATTTCTAAAAATGATTTAAAATCAATTTCAACAGCAACTCTATTAGATTCAAATAATAATAATGGTAATAATAAACGTGTTACGATTAATTTTACAAATGCACAAGATTTACTTGCGGTTGCACCATTAACACGAATAACACCAACAATAACAACAACAGATGGTTCATCATCATCATCGAATGTACCTATGATAACTATTCATATTATTCCAGAAGTAGCACAAGCTTTACTAGGTTCAACATCAGTTGATAAAGCGAAATTAGCTGAATTACTTCAACAAGCTGCTTTAAATAATTCAGCATCGAACACAACAACAACTGCAACAGCAATATCAGATTTAGCGACCACAAATACTTCAACGAACAGTACCAGTTGATCCTTTCATATGAATATATATATATATACATAGATATATAGATAAATTTTTGCATTGTTAAGTCCGTTCGATTTGGAAGGAAACAAATACTGTGTATTTCGAAATGCAATCGGTATGATTGTCATAAAACATTCTCTTCTAAGTTAAACAAAACGTTTTGTTTTTTTCCTGTGTATAAAATTTCGATGATTATTCTCTCTCTCTCTCTCTGTTTCTTTCTTTTTTCTGCAAAGACAACATGTTTATCTTTATTGGTTTTGTTTTCTTCTGTTTGTTGTGTGTGTATGTGTATATGTATTTGTTCCATGCATATTTTCGAAACTTGCTTAGTATTGAAGAAAAAAAACAAAAACAAATGATTCCGTTCTCTTTTCAAAAGTAACCAAAAATAAAGAAAGTTCTTTGTTTTACAAGAAACAAAATTGGAATTAAAATGAACACAAATGATGAATATAGCTGCTTTACTTTTTTGCTTTAGACACAAATATTCTTTTTTGTTTTTCTTGCTGTTGAATAAGAATATGACAACAGCGGAAAACAATGCGACCAACAAGTAAGTTTATAGATAATAAATCATCCAAAAAAATTTCATATTCGATACAAATAAAATTTCGCAAGTAAAGCATTTTCCAAGGAGGAAACTGCAGATTGAAAGATTCCACGTACTGCAGGACCAAAATCCAAGACTTCAAAGGACTCCGAGGGACTTCAAATAGGACTCCAATCTGCTGTTTTCCCCTTGGCATTTGCTAGCTAAAATCAATAGATTACAAACGAATGAAATAGCAATCGCTATGACAGGAAAAACTTCTTTATTTAAAATATCATCGTTTTTTTAGTACAACGAATCTTGTTTCACCAACTGATAATGTTGAATTTGGTCGCAATACAATGTGTCATTTT